AAACACACTTCAACATCAAAATAGATATTACCTCAAAGTAAAAGGTTGGAAAAAGATTTCCTATTCAAACAAACCTAAGAAGCCAGCTGACATAGCTATCCTAATATATAACAAATTATACTTCAAACCAAAATTAATCAAAAGAGATGGAGATGGACATTTCATACTCATCTACAGTGATATATTGTGTACCCTAATAAACTTGCCTTGAGGATCAGAGGACAGAGCCAACTACTAGGTTAGAAGCAGAGGCCAGACAGTGGTGGCACACACCTTTAATCCTATCACTTGGGAGGCAGAAATCCATCTGGATCTCTGTGAGTTCAAGGTCACACTGGGAACAGCATCAAGTAGTGGTGGCATACACCTTTAATCCCAGCACTTGAGATCTCATGCCTTTGCTTAGAAAGTACACACACCCTTAATCCCAGGAAGTGACATGGCTGGGTAGAGAAAGTTACATAAGGCTTGAGGAGACAGGAACTAAGCAGCAGTTCAACTCAGGGGTGAGGAAACAGAGGCTTTCAGTCTGAGGATTCGTGGAAACAGGATTGGCTGAGGAGTTGGCAAGACGAAGTTGGCTGTGGCTTGCTCTGCTTCTCTGATCTTTCAGCTTTCAACTTAATGTCTGGTGAAGGATTTTTTTTCCTATTAAAAAGACTGTTTAGCAATTCATGTTACACTCCTCAAAGGAAAAATCCAAGATGATGTCTCAATTCTGAACATTTATGCATCAAATGAAAGGGCACCCTCACTGGTAAATGAAACATCACTTTTATACACACACCCCATATATTAGTGGTTGGAGACTTCAACAGCTTATTCTCACCAATACACTGGTCATCCAGACAGAAACTAAAGAGATAAATAAGAGAACCAACAGACATCATGACTCAAGTGGACCTAACAGATATCTATAGCACACTTTACCAAAACACAAAAGATTATATCTTCTTCACAGCACCGCACAGAACCTTCTCCAAACTTGACCACATACTTGGTCACAAAGCAAGTCTCAATATACACAAGCAAAAAAAAATTGGAATAACCCTCTCTATCTTATCAGACCATCATGGATTAAAGCTGGATTTCAACAACTGAAACAACAGAAAGCTTACAAACTCATGGAAACTGAACAACTATCTAGTGAATCACCACCAGATCAAGGAAGAAATAAATTAAAAACTTCCAAGAATTCAACAAAAATAAATACACAACATACCTAAACTTATGGAACACTATAAAGGCAATGCTAAGAGGAAAGTTCATAGCACTAAGAGTCTTCATAAAGAATTTGGACAATCGCATACTAGTGACATAACAGCACACACGAAAGCTACAGGACAAAAAGATGCAAACACATCCAAGACACGAGTAGATGGCAAAAAATAATCAAACTGAGGGCTGAAATCAATAATATAGAAAGAAAGAAAACAATACAAAGAATCAATGAAACAAAGAGTTTGTTCTTTGAGAAAATCAACAAGAAAGACAAATCCTTATCAAAAGTAAATAAAAGGCAGAGAGAACAATCAAATTAAGAAAATCAGAAATGAAAAGATGGACATAACAACAGACACTGAGGAAATCCAGAGAATAAGGACATGGTTTAAAAATCTGTACTCCATCAAAGTGAGTGAATATGAAATTCATTCAAAGATGTCTTTCAGGCATTTGAGTTTCCTCTGTTGAGAATTCTCTGTTTAGTTCTATAGCCCATTTCTT